GTTGTCCACCCGGGACCCACTGCGACATGGTCGTGCAGCCATGTATAAACGGTCGTTGCCCGCCTCCATTGCCGCATTGCATAAGTCGTAAGTTCCACACTTCGTCTTTGAAAACTGAAATCGAAAGCAAATTTTCAGATCCAATCCCACCGCCACCACCGCCTCCACCACCACCACCAGTTCTTCGAGCGCCACCAGCTCCACCGTGTCACAACAGATGCGATAGTCACACACATGTAAGTAAAAAAAATCATTTTATCAAAAAATCCATTGAATAAGGTTCTTTCCAGAAATGTACCACTGTTTGCAATTAGAACTGAATTCAACTACACGACTTCCGATGACGACATTCTCTCCAGTTTAACGGCCATATGAACTGAAATAACTGAAACTACCTCAAATTTGATCTTCTTGATAGCTTTACAATGTTTTAGCCAAAATTTTACATCTCGCATGATTTACCTGTAAAATATCGCCTTTCTACCCTTAGCATGACCATGCAGATCATAAATAAAAATTTTTATAATATTTTTGGAGATGCATTCCATTTTACCGAGCGAAAAGCGGCTCATAAAATGAACAGTGCAATATAATGTGAACATTTTGATGAGACACGCAAACGGAGGGTTGTGCTAGCGATTCTGATTTCCGTATTTCTAGCTGGATATGTTTGCATCTGCTGCTTCTCGGTGTCCGAGAGAAAAACGAAGTGTATCGCAACCGCGGGTGAGTTGTGAGAGCAGCAAAATATTTTTATCACTTGGGGGGAAGTATATGAAGCGATATTGTTATTCAGAGCAATGCAAGAGCGGCTGGATCTGGCACGAGGCCAGGAACTGTCTCACCAGCAGCGGTAAGAATCTTTGTGGTAAAATAGGCCCAAATTTTAGCTCGGTGGTTATTGCTTGGGACTCAATCCTTCGCTTCATCGATTTTTTGTTTATTTTATGAGATTTTGCGAGAGAAAATCTTCGTTCAAGAGCATATTGCGAGTCACAATCTGTAGCGAAGTGAATTTTTCAAGACTTTTAGAGGTCCAGACAAAATGTATCTGCTCATAATGGCTACGGTGGCATGAGTGAGGCTGCTGGTTTCTTAAATTTGAGCCACTCAAAGTAAAAAAATATCGGATCACTTTGCTGGATTCCTAGCTTTCGACTCACACCAATCCTTATTTTCTGAACTTCTAGTTATTACATGGCAATATAAATCAGATAGTTTTGGCCTGAAAGACTTACTCTTTTGTGTACTATAAAAATACAAGAAGAAAAGGAGATAGTAGCAGTGTATGTCCGAGCTCTTGTTTCTATGAAGTAAGAGTTAATATCATGAGTTCATAACACTTTCTCCATGAAAGGTTACTGTGATTAAGAACATTTTAGAAAAACTGCTAGTGTATCAAGCAATTCTAACCTTACCTTTTCGACTAATGCATGGTTTTTCGCTGAGATGTTTCGGGAGGATCTGTAAATATTAGGTTGGTGCAAAAGTAATGCGCGTTTTGCAAG